TTATAAATCAATTGTCTTCAAGTTGCAGTATCCACGTTGTTTTTAACACCTCAATATCAAACACGCTATCTTGTTTTTTTTTGGAAAAAAAGCTTGAAGTATGGGTTTACTAGGCCTCTGTTTTAGACCTGTGATAAGCACCTAAAAATACCCAAACAAATTCACTGAATCCAACGTTCACTCACACGTAGGAAAAAGTGAAGCGCAGTAAGTGCTTTCAAATCTGAATAAAACATTTGACAACGTTAGTTCATAGGGTATGTTTAGTGTGTCGTCGATTTTATCTCCTTCTGGTTTGTTTCATTGTCTTTATCCACCGGAAGTTGTGTCTTCTCCAGTTGTGTCTTGATGAGACTGCGGAGGGTCCTGTTGGGAATGAGTTGGAGAGAAGGCAGAGGCAGGTTGGTGATAGGCGAAGTGTGACTGGTCAAAAACCTAAAACATAACACACATGAAACGGATAACACTAAATACGCCTATTTAACATTAATGAATACACCAAAAACATAGCCAACTGACAGTTGGAAAAGAGTAATGAACACAATGAAACTGAAACAAAAACGGACATTTTTTTTCAAAAATCTTCAACTTTTGAATTTCGATGAAAAAAATAGATGGCCTTAAAGCTCTTTGAATTTGTAGAAAAATTTATGATGGGCACTTTATTGTTAAAATCAACCCAATTTGAGAAAACTGGATCAATAGGCAAAACTTTTATTTCGCTGGGAAAACTGATTTTAATTTCAATTTCCGATCACGTTATAACAAAAGTCGATAAAAAAGCAAAAAAAAAAATCAGCAAGACCTATATAAGAGTCCTCACTACGTTCATTACTCTTAATAAGATTGCAAAATTGAATATCACGGCAATACATTCAGCAAACTTAAAGAAAAAAAACACACTCATTATCAACAAAAAAACTATGAAACTGTTTATAACAGGATGCTAAATTCCATCCAAATGGCGTTTTTACTGCTTTGCTCAAAGTTAACTAGCGTGTAACGCACCTCCGGTGCTTGGAATTTGGAACTATTGGAAACTAAAACGAAAGCATATATGTTTTCTCTGACAGCTGGCAATTACAGGGTTTGTAATTTCATAATTTCAAAAAAAATCCTGAAAATGTCATATCTCGGAAACTTAGAGGGCATATGGAAGAATTTGGAGGCAAAATTTGCAACTACTGAGAGTAACCTGAGAGCACAAACTGTGATGGGAAATTTAAAAAATTCCATAGCTTGAAAACAAAAAGACTTCTAACCTTTATTTTTGGAGGAAAAATTTGCAACCTCTGAGCTTACCCTGACAGACAGCACCCAACTACAGGGTTGGGAATATCGAATTGCATGCGTTTTTTTGAACCAAAGTTTCCCGATAACAAATGAAAAATCATAAGAAACGTCTTATCCCAGAAACTAATACAGTATTCTTATTTCGAGGCAAGTTTCCCAACGTCTCAGAGTAGCCTGACAATAAAGATGTCTCACTGAAAAATTGCATTTTCAGAAATTGTGAAGTTTCTTATAGGTAAGAACTTTGAAATTTTTTGAAAAAATCATTGAAAAAACGTCACATCTCAAAAACTAAAAAACATTTGAGCAATCGAATTTGGACGCAAGGTTGCAGTCCCCGTGAACGACCAACTACAGGTTAAGAAACTTCATTTTTTAAAAAAGTTTTTTAAATCTAAGTTTTCTGAAAATTTTGGAAAAAATCATATCTCAGGGATTTGAACAGTCATAATTGGAATCAAGATTGACAACCCCATGGAGTACCTGACAGCAAAATTTTTAATTTTTCTGAAAATTATGTAAAATCACAAAAATTGTCCTATCTCATAAACTAAAAATAGTTGGGTATTCATAATTGGAGGCAAAAACCTGAATTATTAATTGAATAAAACTTACCAAGCGGAAACAAGGCCGACAATCTTTGAGCAGACACCAGTTGAGCCAAAAAAAACTGATTTTTGTAAAAAAAAAAAGTTTCAAGTCCCCAAGAAAAAAATTGTGCACATTTCTACCACGTGTGATGTGAAATTGTCCTATCTCATAAACTAAAAATAGTTGGGTATTCATAATTGGAGGCAAAAACCTGAATTATTAATTGAATAAAACTTACCAAGCGGAAACAAGGCCGACAATCTTTGAGCAGACACCAGTTGAGCCAAAAAAAACTGATTTTTGTTTAAAAAAAAAGTTTCAAGTCCCCAAGAAAAAAATTGTGCACATTTCTACCACAAGGGAGCAACTACGAAAAAAGACAATGTGTTACCACTTCTGTAGAGCGACTCGTTCGTAGGAGTATCCGTCTGATGCCACCACTGGATCCCCCATCACCTCATGAGAAATGGGACAGAAGAACTCATCTGGCAGCACTCCCCCCTCACTCTCACTCACACCCCCACCTCCACCACTGCCATCTCCATTGCTAATCGCAGCAGCAGAGGTCAGTGTCTGAAATCAATGTTTAAAATCATATTCTGCCAGAGTTGTTACTACTATAACTAATGATTTAAACTAGTGACATCCTGAAGCGCTCGAAAACCAAAATTATTCCGGCTTAAGGACCAACACATGAACCACGTTTTCTCAGCAAAGCGTTGCTTATCTGTATTTGACTCACCATCTGATCATCAGGTAGGGTGTTGTGTGAGTTTGTGAAGCGCATCAGGTCTCCCTCTCCCCTCACAAATATGTTCCAGATGAGGACGTTCTTGTCATTACCCCCAGTGGCCAGCACTCTCGCATTGCCCCCCGCACTCCTGTCGGGGAAGGGGTTCCAACTGCACGTGTAGATGAATCTAGACATACGGCACGAAATATTAGCTGCAAAATTTTATTAATCTTCAACTCAACCTTAAACAGCAATGGTTACAAATTTATTTTCTGCTTGCATTTCTGTTTGTATGTAAGGTAGAAATCTACATAAGCATACTAGTATCCCACCCTGATACTGGTGAAGCCAGAAACACAAACACAAATTGTTTAATTGATGTTTTGCATGTGCAGTTATGTTTTGTTGTGTTGTTACCTGAGGTGTCCGTCGAGCACCTGGAGCAGTTCTGCAGAGTGTGGGTCCCAGATTAGGACTCTCTTGTCCACAGACACAGTACACAACAGCTGCCCATCAGAGGAGAAGTCCACATCACTCACCATGTACGTGTGATATTCCAGTTTAGCACGCAACTGCACCCTGACACAAACACACACACACATACTCTACAGAGGTTCTTCTATAGTTCCACGTCTCTCAAAAACTACCACATACTGCAATCTTGAAATCTTCAACTAATCACTTTGCATTGTTCAGAAAATTGTTGAAGTTTGTTCACTTGCTCATACTGACATGTTTAAGTCATAGTTTATTATCGCACCTCAAACATTCATTCCTGATTTACATTTGAGCCAGAATTAGTGAGAGGAGTCAGAAAAAGAGCTTGAGCAGTTCGATAGAATTACTAGGAAAACGAACTAACTTTGAGATAGTTAACTAAAGTGGAGATTGAAGTTTTCTGCAAGATTAAATTGGTTAAATTTCAACGCTAATCTAAACCAAATTTTTTGTTCATTATCGAGTAAAAAACGAGCCAGGAAACTATCCATAAAAATCGTTGAATAAGCAAACTTTACCTAATGAATCATGCAAAGCAGCTGCCTAAATAGCAGTCTATAGTTTAATTACCTCATTGAAAAGAGAAGCAACAATCATTTTGAGAGAAGCAGTTTTCGCGTGAAAACAAGATTTGCGATAAAACTGTTTCACAACTTTGAAACTGTATTTTGAGCTGATTTAAGCAATGATTAAGTCATCGAAAACATGCACACTGAAATAAGCAATATAGCTGGTATAAATTCTTGCAAACCTGGAATTTTCCCTGACATGTGGGAGGACTGTCCATAATTTGGCCAAGTTATCCCCACCCCCTGTAGCCAACAGAAGTCCACTAGGGTGTGCACTGTCCCCACTGGAGAAGGAGGGGGAGAACTGGATGCAATACACTCCCATCTCATGGGCACAGGTGTCCACTGCATGTGCATGGGCAGACGACACTTCTTGCAACTGACTCGGTAATTTAGTTGTGGACCACAGCTAGAATAACAACAAGACCAACCAGCTTTCAAAAAGATTTTTCTTTCCAAAAAATAATATAAAAACTGAACTCCAAAAAGAAAGATCAACTAGTGTTTCGTGCGAAAAAGTAGACGTTTTCTTGCCCAGTCAATCAATGAACAGACATTTTTTTTCTGCAAAGTCAATAACAGCAGATTTAGGGGGGGGGATTCAACCCCAGGGTCTGTTTACTGCTTTGGGAGAGCTCAGAATATCAATTTGGTCGACCTAAAAAAAGGTCAAAAAAACTTTCGAAAATCCGCCCCCTCCCCCACCCTCGAGATAATCCTAGATCCGCCCCCTGATAACAGACATTTGAGCTTCGAGCTCACATAAATCAACTTCCAGATGTACTTTTTCTCTGAATTAAATATTTCAGTTGTTTTTTTGGAATTAAGATACAACATCCAAAATGTTCCTACCCATAGATCACCAGTGCCCATTCCAGATGCACCAGCTAGAAGCCAGAGACCGTCGGGACTGAATGCGAGTCCAGTGATCTGGCCCTGGGGTCCCTTCAGTTTGTGTCTGACTGTGCGTCTGACCAGATCGTACAGGTGCACCACTCCCTCTGCGTCTCCCGCAGCCACCAGTGGCACATCCGGATGGGGGGAGAAGCGACAGCACTTGAACTGGCCTTGAACATATGACAAGGTCCACACAACAGAAATTTAGAGGTGCCACGTTATTCTCAACCAGAATAGAAATCTGGATAGCAAACGTCTCAGTATCAATATCGTTTCTGAACTTGCACAGAAAATAGCTCAGCTAAAAAAAATTAAAATGAATTCATCATTCAAGATATTGTACAAAATGATCATAGGTGTATTCGTTTTGAAAACAGAAAAAAAAGATAGAAGAGACAAAGTATAGTAAACTACTAGCGTACCTGCCTGGTACTTGGAGTAGATGGTGGGCTGGGAGACATCTAGGAGGTCCCACACAATCAGACATCCGTCTATGCCACAGGTGGCTAATAATGGACTGAGGGGACTGAAGGTGCAACAGGACACTGCGTACGAGTGGTGCTCAGACCTGACTCAAAAACACACATTTTACCGTGGTGTATAAAGTGAGTTAGGACTGGAGTGTATAACTCATAGAGTAATTTCGGATAGGGTACACCGTCTGCTCGTCACGCTATCTTATTTTCGGCCGGATAGATTCGTGCAACTTCTTAGTCTAATACCGATCCTAATCTTACTCTTATACTATCTAGTCTCAGGTTGTTTAACTAGTCTCTGCTAGGCTCAATAGATCTAGGGTATACTGGTTTATTGCGGCTGCTGAAGTGCTCGGGAGAGTCCAACTAATTTCTAAGTTAAATTCAAATCTCTCTGGTGCTGAAATTACAAGTAACTTCAGCACTTACAAATAAGTGGGTTGTTAGTTAGATGGATCATGATTGGTTAATATTAAATACTTTACATTGGTAAAATATCTAATTTATCCAATCATAAAATGTAGTTTAGATCAGGTTCCACCCATCCGGGTTTTACAGAGTTTTTTAGAATAGTTCTTCTGCAATTCGAAGGATGGATGATGGACGTTGGTGTTTGGCGAACATCTTATTTCTTCTGTTTCCTTTTTATTAAAGGAGTTCCAGGAAGCTGGAGTTAGAGACATAAGACGTTGTGTCTTCTAGTGACAACGACTAAGTCTTTGCAACAACTTCAAATCTGATTTCAGAATGGTTTGCTATGTCAGGTTTTTCTGTTCTGCGTGGAGAACTTCTTTTGTGTCTGATCTAGTTTGGGAATGGCGTGGAGATTGTGCGTGGAGGGGATGCCTGGTTACTCGGATCTGTACGTATACTTGAACATCGAGGTGGTCATTGGTCTAGTTCAATGAAGTCCTTTTCTGCGAAGTCAAGTCGTACTCTAAATCCTTTGAGTTGTGATTGTGAGTGGCATATCGATTGTGGTTGGTCATTCTCTCTCGAGTGTAGTGGGGTCGTTTCGTCTTTAGATGTTCGTCCTTGGTGTTGTATTCTGATCTATGTATTGCATAATGTAATTTACATTTTATAAAACATTTATTAGTTTAATATTTTTAGTTATGATTTTAGTTAGTTGTTTTCACAAAAGCTTTTTGTTTTAGTTCGGTTATTTTGAAGAGTTACTCACACTTGAGTAGCTCTTATTAAAAATAGAGGTGTGGTCACAAAGCGTGGATGTAGCGCGGTGGGTTAGGCCGGCTATAGAGCATGCTCAGGACGTCCTTCCTGGTGGGTTAGGCCAGGAGTGGGAGTATGATTTCATGCGGTTTTTGTGAGGGGTCCTGTTATGTGACAACGTTTTATGTTGGGTTTGTTGTGGTTTTTCTTATGTCTTGTTGGTTATGTCCTTTTTCCAAAAAGCAAATTGTTCGTGGTATGGGTTTGTCTTTCGACTTTTTTGTGTTTTATTATTTCTTTCTTAGACTTTATAATAGTCTTCAAAAGAATAAATTATCCAGTTTTAAACTGGGTTAATCCGGTTTGGGTACCGTTGGTTTCCTTTTCTTAGTCATGCTGTTATTCTATGATTTGTGGTGTTTAGTAAGCTGCGTTGGTTAGTTTTGTTTAGTATATGATTCCTTTCCAACCGGGTTAAAGGAAAGTTTGAAACATGTTATTATATGTTAGAGTTGTTGAGTGTGAAAACTTGAAACTGAAATTCATTGTTTTAAACAATTCTTCGTGGGCGAGCTGTGCGAGTGTGGATAGAATTTCTGTGCGAATAAATGAGAATATCAAAAGGTTAGTACTGCATTTGCATTTTATTAATTTACTGCATAGAATTTGGAAATTTACTGCTAGTTATGGGGGAATTTTAAGTTACAAATTTTCATCATAATTAGATTTACTGCTTGTGGGAAAAATTTTAGAAATGAATTTATTGCATTGGTATTAAATTTATAATTTTATAAGTGTAAGAGATTAATAGAATTTTTGAAATCTGTTTGATGAAATTTGCGATTTTTATTTGTCTTTTGTGGTTTTTGTAGGTGATTGTCGGATGAAGGCTAAAAATCTAAAGAAAACATGAATAAAGTATGGTGAGTTTTTTAATTTTTTAATTAGTTAGTAATATACATTTAATTCATACTTACCTGTTAGTCGTCGGGGAAAAAACCGTGGGGGAAGATGTCGTGAATTAGTTCTGAAGTTGTTAGTAGTTTAGCTAAGATGCGGATGATATTTTTAGTCTGAAGCAGTGGCCAAAGCAATTGAAGTGCCTTAATAGTGGTTAGTTCTTCAGTGCCAACTGCAAACTCATAAGGTGTGTTTTGGATTAGATTATATAATTTGTGATTGAATTTAGTGTTGTGGATGAATTCTAAAATTGGGATTTCTATAGGTTGTACAAACTCATGCGGGATAAGGAAGGGTCGGGATTCTTCGGCGTTGAAGGTCTTGGTGATGGGACAGAAGATGTACATTTGGGTTATGGGGTCATAATTACGAAGAATACCATGGAGGTTAGTATCTTTAATACAATATGTGAAGTTTAGGAAAAATGGTGAAGTGTATTTGGAATTAATGAATTGAAAACGATGGTGTGGTTGTCTAGAGGGTGTGTGTAGGTCAAAGTGATTTTGGATGAAGCGATAATAACTATATGTATGGGTTTGTTTAGTGCGCAACATAATATCGTGTGAGCAGTGTAAATCTCTTTCGTGTGGTGCAAGGAAATGAAAGGTTAGTGAAAATATTTGGAAGCGTTCTTTAAAACTTTCGTATGCTTGTGTGTCTGTTAGTGCTTCTGAAATAATGTGATCAAACTTTCGGTCGAAGATATTTAGTGTAAATATATATGGTGTCTTGATGAAAAATTTCTCGGTAATTTGTGGATTAGCGAAGCGATCGTCGTCTAAGAATTGATCTTGGTTAGCTCTGATGATGTTGTGATCATAGTATTCGAGTGTATATTCGTTAGCTCTAGGTGCAGTGTGTGTTTTTAGTGATTTTTTATATCCAACGTAAGTAAATTGTCTAGCGGTTAGTGGTGTAGTGAGTCGATATAGCATGTCCGTATTTCGCTCTATATCGATGTGAGTGTTAGATAAAGGTAAGCAAAGAGGGTTAGTAAAATGATAATATGAGGTCCAAGAGAGAGTGGGCATTAAAACGTATTCATCTACATAGTTGCGTGTTTCGTTAGTGTCGTGGGGGGTGTTTAAGGTGTATTGTGGGAATGAGGGTAAGGTGATGGCTAAAAATTCTTTTGTGTTAGTATGCTTGGGGTGGTTGATGTATTCACGGGCTGTTCCTGGTTTTGCTGGGAAAGGATGGTTGGGAAACTTTCTTTTAAAAGTGCGGTAAGCTCTATTAGTGTTGAGTGAAGATTCAGTTGATGTGGATGATGGTGCTAATGATTCAGTATAATTTGAAGAGGGTGTAGGGGTAGGGGGGTTGGATGAATTTATTGTGGAGGAGATTTGGTTTATGGTTGGGGTATTAAGGTGGTAGGGTTGTTGTTGAAGGGTAATAAAATTATCTAGCTCTGGGGAGATTCGGGGGGTGTCTGGAGAATGAGATGATTGGTCAGATTGGTATGAGGAGTAGGTTGGAGTAACTTGGGAAGCATAAGAGGGTGTGGGAGTGATTGGGTCAGGGTTATTGGATAATATGGGTTGAAAAGGGGGTTGAGAAAAATTAGAAGAGTTATGAAAATTATTGGATGGGGATGGTTCTGAGTCGGCAAATTCATCGGGGGTTTCAATATTCGGGTTATTGAGTTGTGAGATGGAATATAAAACTGAGATGTGTGAATTAGTGTCGGAATTCATGCCTGATGTTACATTACTAGATGGAAAATCGGGTGGCGGAAAAGCAAAAAGTGGTATTATTGGGATTGGAGAGGTAAGATTGGTTGGGTGGGAATTTGATCGGTGTAGTGATCCAAGTTGGCGGCTCATCGTGGGCTAAAAAAATGATTATTTTGAGACTGAAAAGCGGTGGTATGGGGTTGTTCAATAATTTGTTCATAAGTATTATCATCTTGTGACTGGTGTGTCATTATATGTTGGATGGGACTTTGTGATGTGGTGAGTCGAAAATTTGGATTATGTGTGATGGCTAAATTTCGAAAATTTCGTGGGACTAGGGATAGTGGATGGTTATTTGGTAGGGCTGGTAATTGTGGTGCCGTTGGCGTTATGTCTACATTGTTATGTTCTTCGTCGTATGTATTTTGTCGTGTTGTTATTTTTGTGTTATATTCTTTTATTTGTGCGTCTAAAAGAATTTTGTTTATGGATGTAGAAAAGATTCCAAAAAATCCTGCAAAGAGTATGCGTGCTACGCTTGCTTGTCTGTTTACTTGTGTGTGTATAGCACATGTGTTGTAGATTCCTTTTAAAAGTGAGAAAAGAAATCCAATAAAGTTAAACATTGCGTATAAAATAGTCAATTTTTCTAAGATGTAGTAGGGCCATCCTAGAAAATCGAGGATCTCATTTTTGAGTGTAACAAAGCTAAAAATGTTAATTGGTGATATATCTTGGGGACGGTATTTTTCACCGTTTAGATATATATAATCTTTAATGTCTTTAAAATATCCGCTATAGTCTTGCGTGTAGATATCGGCAAATCCTGCGGTTTCTGCAAGTTTGCGTAAATTTTGGTCTATTGATTGTCTTTGTATAGTGTCCATTTGTGTTAATAATTCTTGGAATTGTTGTGTTCTAATGTGATGTTGAATATCTGATTTTGAATAGATTCCTATTGATTGTAAGTCTATATTTGGGTTTCGAGCAATAGCGCGAATGCTTTCTGGTGAAAATTTTTTGAGTGATTGCATTAATGTGGGATATGGAGTGAGAAGATAATATTTATTTTCATCAGGGTTTAGTTGTACTACATTGTGGCTGTTTTCTGATCCACATGGGACTGCGGTATCCCAGAAATAGGTTCGTCGTGAAAGTGTATCCACGAAATGTACTTTATTCTTATAAAAGATAGGGATTCTTTTATAACATCGTTTATCTTCAAAAACGTATAGTGGTGATACTTTTTTAGTACAAGTATAAAACCATAAGATGTTTCCTTC